TTGAACCACCAGCCTTCTGGTTAGCAGTCAAGTGCTTTAGCCACTATGCTACCAGAGCTCCTTAACTCCTGTGCTGTATGTTAAATTTTTATGGACTTATGCTTTCCCTCACTAATTAGTTATAAATTATTGAGGGATTATCTCTTAAATAATAGGTATTTCTATCAGTCCTTCCACCATAATCTCTTGTACAGATCAGATTTTCAGGAAATATTTAGTGTTTGCATTTGAATTTTGAATTCATAGAATATGCATGTTATGGAAAATAAATGATAGAGGGAATGTGTATGATTAAAAAATCATGTATTTTTCAAAATATCTTTGGACTTCCGTTTAGTAATAAAAAATGATTAAAGTCCTTGTTCTATACTGGTAACTTACCAACAGTTACTAAATTTCATACTAGAGGTTCTTGTTTTTAAAAGCTGTTTAGTATATTATATCTGACTATTTTAATCAACTATTAACAAAGTTTTATAGACAGTCTTCATAACATTAAATGTAATGTGAAACAAATCCAATGGCTGTCCTCATATTTGTAGGGTAGTTTACATTGGAGTTCTCCTTGCATTAAACAGATGTGTATAAAACAAAAGCCCTTTACATAAAATATTAATATGATGCTATAATTTGATATGTGCCAAATATCACCTAACAGCCCTAATAATGGAAATGTAATTCTCATGGAGACATTCCCTCCCATTTCTACTTTCTAAAGTTCCTTTTACTACTAAATGTTGGGAAGCAGTTGTTGAAATGAATATCATCAGCCCTATTGAAAAGTATGAAAATTAAAATTTTAAGAATACATTGAATAGGATAGGTATGTTACCCTGCATAAAAGAAGTTGTGGTGGCACAGGTTGGGAGAGACATGATACCTGCCTTCAGATATTTAAAGGAACATTGTTACTCGATAGCATTAAGAGCACAGAATTGTATGCAGAAGTTACAGGACATCAGATGTGGCATAGCAACAGTTAAGTCAGAATATGGTAAAAGCAATCCACTGTTGTCAGCTGTTCAGATAGAAAATGTACTTTCCTGTGAGCGGGTAAGTTTCTTATGCCTGCTAAGTGTTGACAACAGACTGAGGTTACTGTGCAGTGGGCAAGAGGCTGAACTAGGCTTTGTCTTCTAAGGGCCCAACGTTAGAGGTAGTGACTTTTTTACCTTTGCACTGTGGAGCCATCTCAGGTTTTGACCAATAGGGAGCTTGAAGAAAATGCTATTTAAGAATTCCAGATCTCTGGCAAGAACTTATAGGATGTATTAGAGGGGAAGGTGCTAAAAACATTGGCCAGGATGCAGGTTGTATAAAGGAAAACTGAAGTAATACATGTAGGGAACTTTTCAAATAAAATACAGAATTTATGGCTTGTTGGGAAAGGGAAGTGAAGGCAGCAAAGTAGTTCAGATAACTTAAATGACAGACTGTTTATAACAAAGTAGCTTTACTTGGAAATTTTGGAATGAAAAAGCTAAAAAATGAGTTTTGGGTAAAGAATCATTATCAGTTCCATTAATTGATTTACAAAGCATTAACCGTTGTTCTGGAAAGAACTAGGGTTATAAATGGACAATTCTTGCAGACAGTGAGAGAGACTTTATATAAACCCAAACATTTTATCTTGTTTTTCTCTTTTTATAGAAGCTCCATGTAGCTTTTATAATTTTACAATTTTGAAAAAATAGAGAAAATAAAATCTTTATTGCCTTTTTTTCTTACCATCCAATGATAAGCATGGTTAACGTTAAAATCCTGCTGTATTTAAATATTTTTTAAGATTAGTTTTTTCTCAATACATTTTAATTGTTGTTTTATAGATTTTGGATCATGTGGGATATGTAATAGTTTAGCCATTTTTAAAGTTAACAATATAGAGTCAGTATTTTTCAAAGTCTTTAAATTTTCTTATACCCTGACTCTGGTGGGGTAGTGTCTGAGGCATTTGACTGCTAATCAGAAGGCTGGTGATTCAAACCACCAGCCACTCCTCAGAAGGAAGATTGAGCAATCTACTTCCATAGTGATGCTGCCTTGGAAACCCAAGGAGGGGTCACTATGAGTCAGATCCAACTCCATGGCAGTGAGTTTTGGTTTTGGTTGACTATTAATAAGTACGTGGTATTTAACTAATAGTTTAAACTTTAGTTAATATTTCTCTTACTAGTAAACATTTAGGTTATTTTCTTTTTTGTGCTATTATAATTTATGCTACCATAAATATCTTTATCCATATATCCTTGTTCACATTGCTAGTCATGTCTTCAAGATAATTTTTTTAAAAAAATAGAATTACTAGACCTAAGGATAAGCTCGTTGGCAAAGTTTCTTAATGCATATTGGCCAAATTTCTCTTCAGCATTTCTTTTTCTATTGGCTCTTTATTATTATGTTTTTTGGTATATATATATATTTCATATGAAATATATATACACATATATATATTTCATATGAAATATATATATACATATATTTATTTCAAATGAAATATATATATATACATATATATATTTCAAATGAAATATATATACACATACATATATTTCAAATGAAATATATATATATATATACATATATATTTCATTTGAAACAACCTTAACATAGAAGAAAAATTGCATGATAGTACAATGAACTTTTTTGTCCTCTGAATTATTTTTGACTGCTAACCAGAGGGCTGGCGGTTCAAATCCACCAGCCACTCCTCAGAAGGAAGACTGGGCAATCTACTTCCGTAGAGATAAGCCTCGGAAACCCAAGAGGGGTCACTGTGAGTCAGATTTGTCTCGATGGCAGTGAGTTTGTTTTTTTTCCAATTATTTTAAAGTTGCTGACTTGATGCTTCATGACTCCCAAACACCTTAGTGTGTATTCCCTACAAACAAGGACATTCTGTCTAACCATGATACCCAAATAAAATCATTTAATTCTTAGATCTCATTCAAAGTTTTGCCCAGTATTTCAATATTTTTATCTATAGACAAAGATTGAGACTCCAGCATCAGATTTAGTTTTTGTCTTAAGCCTTTGCCAGTCTGGAACAGTCTTTCTTTGGCTTGATGACCTTGACACGTTTTTAGATTGTACATCACTTGTTTTATAGGATGTTCTGAAGTCTGTGTTTCAGCCCAGTTTCAATGTTTAGGAAAGACTCATTGGGAAATAAATTAATCCCAGCTCTCCTTTGTTTAAATTACAGAACCTGTATGTGTGTATTTTCTTTGAATGTGTATATAAATAATGAACAAGTCATAGTCATCACCATTACTCACTAAATGAAGAATTTATAAATATACAATTCATATGAATTTAATAAAAGTGTTATAAATAAGTGGAATTTATTCTTTCATTTTAAGAAAATCTACACTTTAAATAAGGTACAGTTTTAAGACTAACAAAGGAGATTAAAATTATCCTTAACTCCTGATTTTCTTCTCTCTTATAGCTATTATCTTCCTAAAAAGTTCACCCAGTGTAATATTGAAGAGTATCATGACTTCTTGAATAGTGGAGGTGGTGCCTGCCTTTTCAACAAACCTTCTAAGGTAATACATGTGAGCAGTGTTATTTATTATTAATCTTTCTGTAGTATTATATTGGGAGCTCTGGTAGCATAGTGGCTAAGACACTTGCCTGCTAACCAGACGGCTGGCGGTTCAAACCCACCAGCCACTCCTCGGAACGAAGGTTGGGCAGTCCTACTTCCATAGTGATACTGCCTCGGAAACCCAAGGAGGGGTTGCTATGAGTCGGGGCCGACTCAACGGCACATAACAACAACAACAACAACGTAGTATTATAAGTACAAAATCTCAACCATTGGGTCATATAAAAGAGAGCTTTAGAATTTGGCCTAAATATAACATTTTCCACCACTGGTCTGTCAGTTTGTTGTACTATTGTAGCTTGTGTGTTGCTGTGAGGCTGTAGGCTATGCCACTGGTATTTCAAAAACAGCAGGGCCACCCATGGTGGACAGGTTTCAGCTGAGCTTCCAGACTAAGACAGACTAGGGAGAAGGACAGTTTTAGATATTCCAAATATCTCCATTTCAATGTCAGTGTTAATTTTGGGCGTTTTGGGATCTATTGATAACAATAGAAAAAGCAGGTGGAAATAAGAACATTTGTAATCTGAAAATTTTCCATTTTATTTTTACATGGACAAATGATAATTCAAGGTTAGCTTGCAAAAACATCTCATTTTACCTTTCTTTTCTATTTAATTTTTTCATTTTGATACCCGATCACAGCTCTTCCTCATAGAAAAGAGGCTTATCTTCCCTCACCTACCACTGCCTTTCAGAATGAGCAGTACTGCTGTTATTCATGATTTGAGTTACAAGTATTTTTCAATATGAAAACTTAAGTCTTCTTAGAGCAGCAAAGAAGAAAGCCTTTTTCTACTTAGACTTTGTCAGTTATTGTTGTCGTTGTTGTTAGGTGCTGTCGAGTCATCTCCAACTTATAGCGACCCTATGCACAGCAGAATGAAACATCGCCTGCACCCACGCCAGCTCCATGATTCTCGCTGTACTTGACCCCATAGTTGTAGCCACTGTGTCAATCCATCTCTCTGAGGGCCTTCCCCTCTTTCATTGACCTCCACCTTACCAAGCATGACATCCTTTTCAGGGAATGGTCCCTTCTAACAACATGACCAAAGTAGGTGTGACCAAGTCTGGCCATTCTCACTGCCAAGGAGTATTCTGGCTGCACTTCCTCCAGGACAGATCTGTTAGTTCTTTTAGCAGTCCATGGTGCTTTCAGCATTCTTCGCCAGCACCACAACTCAGAAGCATCAATTCTTCTTTGGTCTTCCTTATTCATTGTTGAGGTCTCACATGCATATGAGG